TGAAAATTTGGGATATTACACTCACCCCTCCTAAAAAGGAGTTTTGTCCCCAAAACTCAAATTGAGGACCATATCAAGTGGTGAGTGGCTTCACACAATCCGAGACAAAACAATTGCCTCATCACTTTCTAGGAACAGAACACAGCCTATTACGCTTCCGCTGCGCCACTCTGATATCAAATCACGACTAATCTTAAAAGCATAACACTAGCTACTTAACAGGGTTTGCCATCAAATAAGCTACTGGAGGCTGGGGTAATACGGAAAGCACAAGGAATAAAAATAAATCCTGCCAAAGCCACAAAAGAAACAGTTGTGGGGTTACGCTTCGAACCCATCACAAGACAAGTTGACAAAGAATGGCATGGATTTAAAGACAAGTACAACAAAATTTTGAACTCTTTCAAAGACGGATAAGCATCCAATAAATATATAGATCATGAGTAATGAACGAGTGCATGGATGCCTTATACATTCTGCCACAAAACAAGGTTAACCAGAACCAAAATCATGTTTAACAAAGCAACTGAAAAGACAGATTTTAGCAATTAACAAGAGTTAAAAGCTAAGACCATCAAAAGACATATAAGAATCTCAAGAATTGCAACAGAATAAATCAATGGAGAATATGAATGCTTGGAAGAATACTGAAACATAAGAGTGCAAGGTAGAATGCCTCAAAAATTCAGCAACAAAACGGCATTCACCAAGAATCAAGATCAAATTTAACCAAGCAATCAAAATTGAGAGACAAGAGTTAACCATGAAATAAGCAATAGAATTCAAGAATTAGACCCACAAAAGAAATTCCAATAATGACAATCAGAACACGGATTCAAGAGCAGATATAACCAGGATGTCAAGATCTAGTACCTCAAGTACTAGAATTAATTAACAGAACAAAGCAATGGCTGGGATCAAGATGTTTAGAAGATTCATGTCTTCTAATTAAAAGGGCAAACAAAAATCCAAGCAGCCAGATCAAAGAACCATTTCACTTGGAACAAAACTCTAGGGCATCAGATACTTCAAGAACTACCCCTTCACCTCGTAGCTCATGGAGGCTACAATCTGCTTAGCCTAGACATCCTAGAGTCACGTCAACGCTAAGACATCCAGGATACAGAATTTAACACTTGTAAGAGACAAGAATTTAGAATACCTCATATAGGTATTTTCTGATAATCGTCACCCCTCCTAAAGAGGTGTCCATATGAACAAAAACCAAGAATCAAGAAGATCAACAGGTATACTGACACAAGAACTAGCAGAATATGCGGAATTGAGCAAGAGCAGTATATAGAATTTGAGCAAGAACTAGTGTCAGAACAAGAACGTTTTCAAGGACAATTGAAACTAGATTCCAAGAACAATGCAAGAATTAATTCCAGACAAAAATCAAGATAATGAGGATTTCAATAATCATTATCCATTTCTGGATTTCAGTTTCAAGAACAAGTATAAAGCAATATCAAGAAAGATTCAAGACAGATTTCAAGAGTTTCAAGCAATTTCAGCTATCAAGAATGTAGAGATTGGCAACAATAGAGAGTTTAACTTTATGACAACTCGCCAATCTTCACAAAAAGACAACAATTTCAATTGAATAATCACTGCTCTTGATTAACCAATACAGAAAAATGAGCTACATGAAAAGACCATGAAGCTCCAAATGGAAAAAGTGCAACTTTCACTATAACACTTTCAGAAAATAAGGAGCAATGGAATTACCAAGTAATCCAGCTCCTAAAACGCATCTAGAAAAACACACAACATTGGCTAAAATAGCCTTGAATCTCTTGCAAAGTAGAGGGTTTACCCATCCTCCACTAGCATGTGACAAACATAACAAATTCTCCACTAGCTATGCGGTAGAGACTAACAGGATTAATAGCAAAAGATCTCTGTAACTCCCCAGATTTTCCAATTGTGGCAAAAAATGCACACAAAAATTCTATTCACGTAACAAGCCTAAACAAGTGCAGACTATCAAAAATGACCAAGTTTCAAAACAAGGTCTTCAGGACATAACGGGCAAGATCACTTTCACAACTTCACACAGAGTATGAAGGCAAGAAACAAGAACAATCAGATCACCATCTCATCGAAATGGATGAGAAAATTCAAGCAACATGAATCAGAATTGTCCCTTGTATAACCCCATCACTCGTCTCACCACGGGTCTAAAATCAATTGGCTAGCCAAGTCCAAAACAAATCCTAGGTATTCAATTAAACCTAGGCTCAGATATCACTCAATCTGCTCTGATGCCACTCAATCTGGAGGTGCTTAATTTAATCTTAAACTCTTAATTTCAAACTTAAGCTCTTATACCACTCAATCTCCAGATATCTAATTTAACCTAAGCTCTGATACCACTAAATCTGTCACGCCCCAGAACCCAAATCTGGGAACGTGGCAGACGCCGTGCACTCGTGAGACGGGTCCCACAAATGCACAAGGCTCGAAACTTATCACACCACAATCTGATACCATCAAAATCTGAAGATCAAATCTTTAAAATTTACTCTGATATCATAAAATCTCCAAGTACACT